GTTATTTATTGAAATTCTACTGGAACATTTTTATTTATGTTATTTGTAACTTATATACTCCAATTGTAGACCAATTGTGACTCAAGTTTTAAGCAGAAAAGTGACGTTAATAATCATTTAAATAAAGATCAATATCTGAATACCGTTTTTTTTACGAAAGTAGCAAGATGAAATGCCAAGTGGCCATCTCTTTGGATAATATAAAATTAACTAGGCTTGGGTTTAGAAATACGAGTTCAGCATTAAATATAAGCCTGAAATAATTAAGTTTTTACGCTAAAAGAGCTAGTTGATTCTTTCTCGGAAATTTCACTTAAGCCGGAGGACTCAGATACTTCACTTGATTCTTTTTCACTAGATAAGTCGGAAATTTCACTTACGCTGGAGGACTCAGATACTTTACTTGATTCTTTCTCGCTGGACAGGTCGGAAATTTCACTTACGCTGGAGGACTCAGATACTTCACTTGATTCTTTCTCGCTTGACAAGTCGGAAATTTCACTTACGCTGGAGGACTCACTTGATTCTTTCTCGCTTGACAAGTCGGAAATTTCACTTACGCTGGAGGACTCAGATACATTACTTGATTCTTTCTCGCTTGACAAGTCGGAAATTTCACTTACGCTGGAGGACTTAGATACTTCACTTGATTCTTTTTCGCTGGACAGGTCGGAAATTTCACTTACGCTGGAGGACTCAGATACTTCACTTGATTCTTTCTCGCTTGACAAGTCGGAAATTTCACTTACGCTGGAGGACTCACTTGATTCTTTCTCGCTTGACAAGTCGGAAATTTCACTTACGCTGGAGGACTCAGATACATTACTTGATTCTTTCTCGCTTGACAAGTCGGAAATTTCACTTACGCTGGAGGACTCAGATACTTCACTTGATTCTTTTTCGCTGGACAGGTCGGAAATTTCACTTACGCTGGAGGACTCAGATACTTCACTTGATTCTTTGTCGTTTGACAAGTCGGAAATTTCACTTACGCTGGAGGACACAGATACTTCACTTGATTCCTTTTCGCTGGAGAGGTCGGAAATTTCACTTACGCTGGAGGACTCAGGTACTTCACTTGATTCTTTCTCGCTTGACAAGTCGAAAATTTCACTTACGCTGGAGGACTCAGATACTTCACTTGATTCTTTCTCACTAGAAATGTCGGAAATGTCGCTTACGCTGGAGGACTCAGGTACTTCACTTGATTCTTTCAAGAATGAGCTGCTCGTTTTCATATTATCAAACCACATTACATCGGTATTAGATGTAGGCAATAGCTTCCCATTGACGTTGTTTGGACTTGAGAATTCATTATTCCCATTCTCGCGGTCACCGGAAGATACAAAACCTTCATTTTCTGATAAAGATAAGAATGTATTTAAAAAATTAACCTGTGTAAATACGATAGGTATAGATTATCAGTTTGCAAACACAAGAGGAAGACTTTCTTCTTTTTTTCACATATTTGATAAATACATGACCTATAATATTTATTATGGTAACATTATGATGTATCTCAAAGATATAATCGTTGAGATAATTTTTCATTAGAGTACTAAGATGCTAACTAGGTGAGGTGGAGATGCGCGACTCTTATGTAGGCCTATGTACACAACAAAGTGGCCGCCTCGGTCTAATGCGCTTTGATCATCACCGTGCATCTTCTCACAAATCACATTGTTTTCTTCTAACATATAATATAATATAAGCATATATATGTTATGTATAATCAAATTATCTTAAGTAAAATATATTATTATATACTATTAGGCTGTATACTACACATTTTATAATGCTAACATGTTTAGGACATAGATTACACATTATATATATTTATTTATTCGGAATCTTTTAGATACACTTATCATAAAATAGTGCACAAAATCTATAAGAAAAAAAAAATAATAATAGCGTACAGACTTACTGATTGGAACGCATTCGGTGTTTGTAACCAACAAGAACAGAAACCAGAACAAAAATACCTTTCCCATTCTGAAGTAAAAGTCAACACAATATAAGATCTAATGCATCTAATAAAATCAATAATATTAATACAGTACCAACAAGAACAAAGTTGAAAATAAGGACACGATTTCACCAAGTGAAACAAAATCTCCTTTGGAACCCATTCTTTTTTATTTTTTGTATTGTAATTTATATATATATTTTATTTGTATACATAACACCTAGGCCTCTTACAAATAAATCGAATTAAATGATTATAAACAATATTGAAAAACTATATCAAAATACTAAATAAAAAACTAAATGAATAATTAGGAATAAGAATAAATGCTTCTTACCTGTTGACGCTTCTAACATCAAATACAAAATTATTTTCTGAAGGCTTTTCCGGTGATACATAATGCAGAGGTGTGCCCGTGATTCCGGGTCTTGACACTTTTTTTAGAATCAAGTCGACTGCCATCATGGAAGAATGCATACTTTGATTCAGTAGAATCAGTATCGGAAAACGATAATGTATTTTCAAGGACCAATCATACACCAACCCATTCCGCTCTATTGGCCTAATTTTTGAAACCCATCCCGATTACTGTAGTAATTAAATTGTTGATGTGCGGTTTTTTTTCTTTTTCGATAGTAGGGCTTACCTAATTGGTATCATGAGTCTCGTCCTGTTTTATATCTCTTAAATTAAAAGCGAAAACAGTCATTTTTCCATTCTTATATAATTATAATAATAATTGTCAATTTATATAGCGCATAATGTAAGATACCTCTATGTGTTTTACAGCAGGGAGTGGGATAAACTATTAAAAGTTTCACTTAAAATATAATGAATAACAATAATGAATAACAACAATAAATATAAATATACGATTACTATGTTAATAAATAAATAATTTGAAAGTACAGAATTTTATTTACTTTTTTTTTCATCTATCTAATTGTTACCGGTAAATATTTATTTATATGAGTGTTAAAGTGTTCAATGCATTTCTTTTAAATTTATCATCATTTGAACAATTAAATTCGTTCCCAGAAACATCTTCCTATCGCGCTTGATTGGGTTTGTTTATGGGTTTAAGTAAGCTATAATTGGTCAGAATATTTATCATTATAGTTTTTAATCCTGGTCTATTGTTTTTCTGCAAATTTATTCGGTCTTTACGGATTGACGTTTAATAACTGCTACATTTCCTTTAATATCATATCCTTTCTCTTTAATTATTGCTACATGATGTTAGTCGTTACAGCAACGTTCCGCAACATATGGGTCGCGACCTAATATTTGGGTCACTGGACAATTTTGATGGGTCGTATAATCTTTTTAGATGGTGGAAAAATTACTTTAGAACGAACGACGACAAACGAAAACAGAATTACAGTAAACAAACCTGCATAAATTGTGGCATATGGGTCAGTTTACTTTTGTAATGCGTGCGCTATCAACAGTTTATGTTCAATAATATATATCAAAACATTTTGTTCTTCAGGTATGAAAATTCGAAAGTTTAAGTCTTGTTTTTCTTGGCAACAAATTTAAGGCTTTTCGTAGTAGAACGTCGGTAAATCACTGACTTTTTTTCGATCTCCAACTTATTGAAAGGCACTTATGTCGTTATGTTATATAAGAGTATTCAAAGTTATATAAATTTCATTTTTAAGGTATTTAAAATTTATTTTGTGGGTGACATTAAGAATCTTTTCTGCATGAAGCAGTGGCTTTTAATTGGCTGACATACGAATTAAGTTGGCATGGTTCTCCGCAGGTATAAAAGACGGACGTAATTTATTGACTAAATTACTCAAACTCGAATTAATAATACCATTCAATCCTTTTAGCATAAAATTTATGCGATAAATTTGGCCTTATGGGAGGCGCCAGCGGGAGGCCGGGGGCCAGGGCCCCCCGTCGGGAGTATGGGAGGGGGTGTCCCCTCCTCCCAAAACGAAATTTAAAAAACAAAATTGGGACTTTTAGATGGCCGGAAATGGCTGGAATGGGAAAATTAAGCCGATTTTTTTTTTTTTTGGTCCGACTGCCCGACGAACTTTGGTCGATAGGGGTTAAGCCCCTCCCCCGCTGGCGCCACCACTAACTACGGGGGATATATGTATCTTTCTTCTAGGCTATTCCATCTTAACAGTCTGGTGTACTGCCACATAAATATACAGTAAACATAAAAATTAAAATATATACCGTAAAACCTCGATTAGAAACCCATCCATGGGCTTCTAACCAAGATATTATTGACTTCTTTCGAGATAGTACTTGCATTCAGACTGACGTTATCTTTGATTATTATGATAGCGTGTAGGTATGAATATATTATGTTATTGTACTCATGGTTACAATTTAAAAAATATAAAAATAGAATTTCGTATTGCAAAGTTGAAAAATGTCTTATAGTAGCAATTCCAAAATTTACAAGATTCAATTTGAAAAGCCCATTGTTTTGTATTGTATTTTTTTTGTTTTTGTTTTTTGTGTGTAGTCATTATTTGGAGGTACACACCTATTTGATAACAATGGTCTGGGCTGCTTTTGTGCTTTCCTGGCAGATAATGACTATGGTATATTTTCACTACTTGTTAATGTTATGTTGTTTCGATTTTTTTTTATTTGTATTATATTTTGTATATTGCATCTTTTCCCTGAATAAATAATACTGTATTAATAATAATCTCGAAATGAACACCATCCAAGGGTCCTAAAAAAAGAGGCCAGGGCTTTTATTTCTGGATCTGGATCTGGATTTGTACTCCTCAACGCCCCTAAAAGGAGCAAAGCGAGAAGGAGTGGTGGCGCTGTAACTTAGTGTTCTGTATTCCTTAGGTGGTTGGATATAGCAATCTTGAACCTTTCTTTGTCTTCTATTGATGCAATTTCATTCGGGATTTGATTCTAGTCTCGTAGAGTTCTTGGTATGAAGGAAAATCTATAACAGTCCTTTTGGGCATTAACCTCGGAATATGTACAATGTCTTGAGAAGTATGTGACAGGACGCAAGTGCACTTGTAATGGAATGGCAAGGCGATTAAATAAAGCTTGCTGAAAAATGGTCATTCTATTTACGGATCTCCTTAAATGCAAGGAATCCCATTTTAATTCTTTCTTCATAGCAGTGACGCTACTGAATCTACTGTAGTCACTATTTGATGCTTAACGGTATTTTCATTGTTATTGTTTGTTGTGCCGAGGTGCAAAACTGAAGCTAGATTGGTTGTTAACAAGTTGTATCATGGTCGTTATCAATATCACCATCACTGCTCAGTCCGTTTTCATCGCCGTAGCGTTATCATCATCACCACCATCTCAATAAAAAAAAATTTAGTCCAAAAAACGATTGAATTCCTGATTTATTCATGTAACCACATCAAGAAACTCTCCAATTTGCACTAATAACTGGATATATACAAGAATGTCTATTGCAAATTCTCTGTCTTTAGATTCAGTATCAGAAGTTTTATGTAAATTTAATTAAAGTTTCCTAATATTGATCATATTCATTCATTAACTGTATTTATAGTTAGAGAATTTGTTTTCAAGCAAAATAATATATCACACATTTAAAGTTTCATTCCTCATTATGCTAGATAATTGCAAAGAAGTTTGACAAACTTTTGTCAGAAGAAGCAAAACACCATCTAGGAGTAGACAAGTGACAAGAGCATTAGATTTTTGTCTGTCTCAACAAAAACAATTGTGGTAACAACCCTTACACAATGCTCCTAATTTGCTTGAATAAAAATGTAGATCCACTGATAGAAATACTATATAGTTTATTTTGTTAAAACTTTATTAATAGATAGTATCTTATGGGCTATGATTTCTTGACAGATGTGGCTGCTTTGACACACTTGGCCATTGTTTGCGAAGCGCGGCTAATTGGGTCGGTCATGTAGAAATCTTGTAGAACCTTTTGTTTGCTGGTGAGAGGATTGCTTGAGAGCTGTTTTTTAACATTCTGCAAAGATAGGATTTGGTAAAGAACTGTTATGCAGTTCTCATGTAAAAAAGAAAATCAATGGAATGAATACAATACTGAATGTTTCTGGATTTGAATAATATACAGTAGTAGGTGTATGTTTTTACAGGCAATGTGAATAAATTTAAATAGTAAGGTTCTTAAAAATATTGGAATTTATAAATGATATTATACAGAAATATTTGTAGATTGCTACATAAAAGGAGCTTTGTCAAAATTCATCAAATATTTCATTTCATTTATTTCGTCAAACAGAAAACAAAACATACAGAAATACCAATACCAAAAATCAGAGACAGGATAAACAAAAAGCAAACTAAATTGCTGTATAAAGTTCCTCCACTGATTTAAGGACACATAAAATATATAAATAAATCTCTGATCTCTGGAAGTAAAAGCGATTAAAAACGGCAAGGCACAGCGCAGCGCAGAACAGTGCAGCATGCAAGAAAAAATATACTGATACTCTCATGGAGCCACTAGAAAAAAACACTTGGATATTCCCAGAAACTCCATGAGAATAATAATAAATAATACCAGCAAACAGCGACAGCAAAATAAGTATCAGCGACAGCAGTAGCGCAGAAAAAAGAGATTTAAATTTATTAAAAATCAAGAACACAAATGCATTTTATTATTATAAGATTTATAACATAACAGATATTTTGATTGCACAGCAATACAGTGAACATGGAATGAATTCACTCAAATGTGACATCTTGAGTTCTCTACACCACATTCTACCAAAATAGTGCTAGAATTTACAAACTGAGATTCAAAGCTGGGGAATGCAAGGATGATGATGTGAAGCCACTACCTCCTAGGACTTATTATGGGCTCAAATCACAAGCTCCCCAGCAGCAGCTGTCTTTAATTGGAGGGGTCTTTAATTAGAGGGAGACACACAGACAGACAGAAGACAAAAATGAGGTCTTACCATGGAAAGTGCCTGTGCTTGAGCAAAGAAATTGGCTTCCTCGACATCACCATATCTGGTGAGATTAGGCGACACCTGTGTCATTCTTAACCTCAGTTCTTCAAGGTCGTCATATGGCAGCGGTTCACCAGCAACCTTCAAAAAATTATGCAAAATAAAGATGAGCCAAACTCTTTGCAAATCATGTTTTGGAGATAAGGGACAAGAAAGGTTGGAATGTCAATATTTTCAAAATCTATTTCACTGCAATAAACTAAATTATATATATCTATGCATCCTGCTATGCTTTTATTTCCCCCAATTTCAACATTAAACAACATTTTATACGATTTGATGACGGTCTCAGCCTGAATAAAGTCAATGAATAATATCTGTCCACAAAGTGTTCAATGGCACTGTCACACTTGTTTAAAATGCTCTTGAAAAGAGGAAAGCATTTAGATTGCTCTTGAACACATTCACAATTGGTGAGTAAAGACAAACTTGTAAACTTCAAAGGATGATTTCTCAAATACTGTTCTTTAAACAGCTGTATGTTTAAACTCCTGTAACTTCATAATGAAATGTCATATTTAAATGATTCTTTACCATTTTATAACTTTCATTTAACTGCTTAGCCCTGTAGTAATAATATGATCCTGTATTGCTAACTAAAAATCGTTTCGAGGAGTGATTGGCTTGTCCTTGCCACGTATAGACTGCTGGCAAAAGAGGAATGTACAATACCCTAATGACAGATGTGTAGATACCTCTGACAATGCCCTAATGACAGATGTGTACATACCTCTGACAATGCCCTAATGACAGATGTGTAGATACCTCTGACAATGCCCTAATGACAGATGTGTAGATACCTCTGACAATGCCCTAATGACAGATGTGTACATACCTCTGACAATGCCCTAATGACAGATGTGTACATACCTCTGACAATGCCCTAATGATTTTCCAATCTTCTCTTGCATAGCCTGGAGGTGAGACTGCAACCCTTGTCTGCTGAGCCCTTCCTTCTGTGTTCACGTATGTGGAAATCTTTTCTGTGTAGGCAGCTCCAGGTAAGACAACATCAGCCATCGATGCCCCACTGTCACCATGATGACCTAAATTGAATACAACTAAAAGTGTTACCTTTAAAATTTTCCATTAAAAGGTATACATTGATGTTAATGGATGTTAAAGAACGATTACTGAAGAGTTTTGTATTTCATTTGGACGAAAGAAACCAAGAATAGCCAACGAAAGTTCAAAGACATCAATCTTATCTTATGTTATCGTTATTATTATTATTATCATTATTATTAAACAATAATAACAAACTAAAACAGTGGTGTAAAATTTTAGTATCAAAATTACTTACCAATGTAAACAATGAAAGTATCTTTAGGAAGGTCAGCCCGGGAGATTGTCTCTTCATCAGCACCAAGCAGGAAAAGTAACTTAGGTGCACTGTTTCTGATATGATCTACACCAGCTGTATAGCCTAGGTCTAATGCTGCTACTTGGCTGGCAACCTAACAATAAAAATAAGAAATATAATGGAAAAACACATTACTCATCAACATAATAACAATTATAGATCAGTCGTGACGTCATCATTTTCAAAGAAGGCATTTATTCAAGGGAAGCATTCACCCCCCCCCCTTTTTTTTTTGGTAAAAATGGATATATATGTACTCAAATAAATGTAAATGTGGAACTACAACACATTACCGTGATATTGTATAATTATGAAAAGATTTTGATTTACCAACCTGGTTAGAAGAAAATGTAATGCTACTGGAGTAATAGAATGCGTTGTGAATGATGTTGCTTCCATTACTTTTGTTTGCAATCATTTAGAGGGCGTTTATTTGAGGAAAATATAAACGCTTTGGGCATTTATGCAAGGGAGTCATATATTCAAAGCGGAGGGTATATTTTTAAAAATACGGTATATGGCAACAACTTTACCAACACCCCAATACATTTTTTCTTGTTCTGATTTTCAGATGACAGCTGATAACTTAAAAATTCAAATATTCAATTTTTTTTTAAAATTTATGTAACAATAATAATAATAAGGAATTTATATAGCGCAAATTATAAAACAATCTTAAAATCAAATGTGCTTTTGACTGAAAGTTATGATGTTTAATTAAAAAATAATGTTTTGATGTTAGATTTCAAAGTGGATATTTTAGTAATGTTAAAGTGTAATAGCTGCAAATGTGAGAGATCTTTTTCCAATAGTTTTCGGGGAATAGATAGAAGGCATTGGTGAGAGGATTGAAGAGAACGAAAAGGGGTATTTTTGGGATGGAGGTCAAGAAGGTAGGATGGTTGTTCACAGGTGAGAGCCTTGAAAGTCAGGAGAATTTGTTTACTTTTTATGAAATTAGTTTTTTTTTTTTTTTTTTTGCACTTACCCTGTGTAACACATTCAATACTTTCCAGTCATCTTCAACTGCACTATTCTGGCGCACATGCTGAGCAATTGTAGTTGAGTTAGCATGGATGGCAGCCCCATCTTCCCTCTGCAGTGCCCCACTGCCAATTACTATCATTGGGTTCTTAGCCTGGGCTAGCACGTTGTTGTATGGATGGGTTCCTTTAGCTAACTGAGCAAGAATATCTGTTGTGTCTCCAAGATGCTACATGAATTATTAAATAGTAAAATGAAACCAATACATATATTTTTTTAAATTCGTCTGAAAACACCAGTAAATAACAACATTAAGAAATCAAAAAATGTAAAAAAAATCCCCAAAAATACAAGATGTGTGTGGAGGCAAAGGCTGTATGCCATATCTGCACGGGTCTCCCTCATAAGGTGGTGTGTGGCACAAGTCTTCTGGCTTTTAATTTAATGAATGCAAGTTCAAGTCATATTGTGTCCTTCAACAAGACACTATATCTACAGGAGTTGTGTAATTATCTTTTAGGGTGTGAATAATACATATTTTATTCATTTGCTCTCAAAGTTGGAATTGTACTCCTCGGAGAAGAGGAGGTGGTTGCTAATATAGAATTGGTTCTGTATCTCAACAAGCAAAGAAAAAACAAATAAGATAACTGTACTCACTTCATATGTATAAGTGAGATCCACCTTTTCACCAACCATAGCGACGCTCAGATCATTATGCAGCCAACTTTTGCGAACACGTACGTTGAACAGTGGTGCTTCATATCTAGGATTTACGCCAACTAATAGTAATACATCAGCATCTTCAACCTTTGCAATACCAGTGTTCAACAAATAGTTTGAGCGAAAGTCAGTGCTGGAAAAATAGACAATCACATAGTACTAAATTTTATTATTAGCTTTGAATAATGACCTTTCTAACAAATTGCTTTCTTCAAAGTAGACTTCAAAATAGTATGGTATAGGGTGCCCTATAGTTTTAATAATTTGTATTTAAAATTGATCATTGGAGTGTTGAAGAATTATTGTATACAAGAGAACACACAGTATGTGCCATGTGAAGGTGTTTAGCAATATCCAGATATTTTATCACTTGTGTCTTACCCAGCTGCATCCATTGGGAAAACCTCTTCCGTACAGAGTGCCTCGGATCCAAATCTATTTAAAAGATCCTTCAATGCTAGCAAAGCCTGGTATTCAATTAAAAACAAATATATCAATTCAATTCTCAAGAATAAGAAAAGCACTAAAATGTTACAATTATATAACAAAAGTATAATTAGCATTAACTAATATACAAGGTTTGTTTTGTTTGTGTTGAAAATTTCATAATGAGGAAGGGGAACATCATTGACAAGAGACAAGGTGATCAGGAGAAGGGGGTTTTGAATGATATTTTGCTAACCAATCAATTAATCAACAAGAATTTGTGTAGTATCAATATGCACAGCAGAATGCAATGTTCAGTGGCACTATGCTAACAGCTTTTAAACCAAATATGTGGTATACAAATCATCATTTATTAGTATTGTTATTAATAAAAGGCTGGGATAAATGACTCCAAAATGAGACATTTCCATCGAATATGTGGGAAATAATGATTTTTTCTTTCTAACTACTTTGTTCTTACTGTTTTTATTTGAATAAATGCTCCGGGGGTCTATTGTTTAGAAGGGTTTTTGAGAGGGTGTCTATTCGAGGGAGGCGTTTATTCAAGGGAGACATTTATTTTTTTTTGTGTAAAATGGATACAATGGATTAATTTTACTGTAAATGCGGTACTATGATAATTACCGTCAAAAGTGTGTTATTCTGTGATCATACAGCTTATTGATCCCAACCAGGTTAGAAAAAATGTAATTCTACAGGAGTACAACATTAATAGCATGTGTTGGGAATGAAGTTGCTTCCATTTGTGTTTACAGGAGTTGGGATTGGGGGGGGGGGCGTTTATTCGAGGAAAATATAAATGCCAATAAATTCCCCAGGGCATCTATTCAAGAGAGGCGTTTATTTCAAACCAGGCTCTGGAGGGGATGTCTATTCGAGGGATATGTCTATTCAAAGCGGGGTGTTTATTCAAATAAATAAGGTAATTACAGTAATTGAAATGCGAGTATTGATTCAATGTACAAACCTCGGCATCAACAAGTCCCCCGGCAATGGCAGATATCTCACTTCCACTTGTACTGATAAGCTGAAAAAAAACAAAAATTCTCACATAAAGTTGTCATCAATTAAATTTTCTTTTTTTCTATTTTACAAATTTTTTAATAACAACTTTGTATTTCATAAACATCATAGTGTTAATATTTCAGAATTATGCAGTTCTCTGTATTTGTAATTGCAGAGTCTTCAAATTTCTGTTCCATTGAAACAAAATTATCAACTGACCAATTAGAGCATCAAAGGAGTGGAGAATAGCGGAACAGTTTGATGGCATTATGACATACCTGCGAAGCAACTGCTGGCAAAGCATCTTCCCACGTACTTGCTACCAAATTTCCCTCCGCATCCTTCACCATAGGAACTGTCAACCGTTGTCTCTTTAGCCCATCATATGAAAAGCGTGTTTTGTCAGAAATCCATTCTTCGTTGATATCCTGAAGATAAAGGAAAAAATATACCAAATATACCTCACTTTGTTAACTCTTGTGGAATGTCTCTCTTACTTGCCAATGATACTCAAACACAGAATCTTTTTTATCAAATTCTATTATTCCACCATTCACTATTTTTGCAAGTCTATCCTCTAAATAACTATTACATATATTAGATGCCATATTAATAACTAATAAATGATCTTCTGTTTTTTTGGTTTTTTTTTGGTTTGTAATAATAATAATACACACAATTGAAATGTACTTTTTGAATAAACCACAAATGAGTGAATGAATAAAAATGAATTACTGCCTTGATAATTTTATGTTACTTTGTTATATAAATGAATACATTTTTGTTTACCTCATGTAATCTAGGCAGAATTCTCATGACCTCTCCAGCTCTGGTGCTAACAGTAATGTTGCAGCCAACAGCATCCAAAACATCGATGGATTCCACCTTACGAGTTTCCCAGGGTCTGGCAGTGAAGGCGTATGGTTTGGACGTCAATGCCCCCACTGGACAAAGGTCTAATAAATAACAATTAGGAAGTTTAAAAAGTAGATTTTTTATGATACACTTTATGACACTGCAACTAAATTTAAATTATATTATTATCATCACCACGACCACTACTATCAGAAACATCATCTTCAATCATTTCTATCATTAAAACCTCTATGATCATGAGAATCAAAAGGTGCTGAACAGGGCTTATCCCTGGTCAGCAACAAGGGTGTAGCCCTCTACTCCAGTTCAGGGGCTTGATTGGCTGGGAAATTTCATCCTTATCATTATTGCATTTCCACACATCTGTGCACTTGTATTTACAGCACATTCAGATTTTTTGAATTGTGCACTTTACAAATTTTAAACCATTACTACTGCTACTACCATTTGCACTACAATAATCACCATCATCAACATCACAATCAATGAAAGGACCATTTTTCTTTTAACAAGATAGTCTTATGTGATATGAATTCTTGAATTAGAAAAGTTACATACATCATAACAGTACAGTATGTGTTATTATTACTGCCATGCATTTTTGTACAGAAGTATTGTTGTCTATCGAAGGAAAATTAAATATTCCACATAAAGAAAACAAATCTTCATCTTCATCACCTGAATTATGATGATCATCATTAGACCAATTGTTTGGAAGAAGCATGTTGATACTTACCTATAACATTACCAGAAAGCTCTGACTCAAACATTTTCTCAACATATGTACCGATTTGCATATTGCCACCACGACCTGTGGTGCCCAGGTCATCTACTCCAGCAACCTCACTCCCAAACCTGTCAACAGCAAATTTAATTTGATATTGTTTTTTCAATTTAGAGAAGGTATAAATTATTGATGCCTATTGTAGGAGAAAAAAGTGTGTGGATCCTCTGTGAAGCTTCCAACTTCCAATCAAGAGGTTAAAGCCGAGTACCCACTCAACTCCGCTCTCTAGACGTCGTGTGCGTTGTAACATTGCGTTCTCCATAGAATTGCGTCAGCCGATGACCAGAGTGTAGAGCGAGTGCCTGGCATAACACTCTGCCCGCCAAACATGGAGATCTCCGTGTTTGGTAACGCAACGCTTGAACGCCAAACTCGGAATCTCCATGTTTCAGGTTTTTTACCGAATCTGATAGATGGGGTAATTACCGACATGTACTAACAATTTGAACACTATGTTCGGTCTGAACTGTAAGTATTTCACTATTTGTTTGTTTACATTTGCATAGAGCAGTATTGATTTACTTTCACAAAATCGCGATTATCTCAGCTTCGTTGTGCGAATTGCGTAAACCTCCAAAAGTGAGGCATTTTCATTTTACTGTTACGGGTCACAGATTATGATTAGAATAAAGTGTTTGGTACCATTGTAAAGCTAAAATGTTTGTAGTTCTTTTAGTATTCACTACATGTGAATATGATCACTTCGGAAAAGTGTTACAATTTGCTACAAAGTCTGGCAGTGGCTGATATTATTTTTTCAAACCCCTGGCGGTCAGAGTGTTAAGAGGCCCCAAATCCATGCAGAGTGGAGAAAGTTGCATATAGTGCATAATTAGTCTACAGATCGAATATAGAATTGAAGGTTATTGAGGATGTAAAATGCATTTGGCACTATATAAGAGAATTAATAATGAAAATGGTGACACACATCTATATTTCCAACAATTATTGTAGTAGTGTTATATAAATATCCTTGACAATATTCTTGCTTAACTTACCTTACACATCTTGTGCAATGTATACATCTGGTCATAATGGTTTTGACTAACGGACCAATGTTTTTGTCTTCAACTGCCCGCTTGCCTGTGAAATTGATGTCTTCAAATCGACTCCTATCACTTCCAAATGCCATTGACTGGTCCTGGAATACATACGAAAATGTTATTCATATCTATTAATATGGCATTTATTTGTCCTTAATGTACTCTACTTATAATATACCTATGTAGTACATTATTAAGTACATTAGTAATAGTAAATATGCTTTTTACTTATTAATTTTATTCTTTTTGTATTTACAGTATTGTACAATGTACTTACTTGTACTTTTATACTTATTATGTAGTTACTGGAAAACTCAGTATTTCACTAAGGAGTATTCCATGTGCAATAAACTGGTTTTAAATGTTGTCTATACTTACTTGTAGATCACACTCACCACCCTGATCACAAATTGGACAATCTAAAGGATGATTGACCAATAGGAATTCCATTACACCTTCCCTGAAAACAGAGATCACATTTAGTATAATTGCTCACACAAATGTTAACAATTTTTTAAAAAATTAGTAAGATGTAAACAAATTTAAATTTATATTAAAAACTGTCTCTGACAATTTTTCTGTCATAAGTACATTTCATATTAAAACCATATATGAACATGATGTCATATCACACACATTATAGGCAACTTGCAAGTAGGTGTTTATAGGAGTGATGTTTTGCCCTACCTAACATGTTATCATACCGAACACTCAGTACATCCCCAAATACTACCGAAAAAAGTGACTCTGGTGGGAATCAAACCCATGACCTCCAGGTATCTAGCCTGATGTCTTAACCAATAGACCACTGAGTTTGCGCTTGGTGACTAGTGATGAATCCAATCCTGTAGTAGCAGCAGGTTCTGCAAGTGCTATTACGATGTGTATTTGCGTCAGGAAAATAACACAGGAGTGATGTTTTGCCCTACCTGACGTGTTATACTGAATACTGATTACGTCCCAAATACTAACGAAAAAAAAATTTGCACATGATTCGGGTGGAAATCGAACCCACGACCTCCAGGTATCTAGCCTGATATCTTAACTACTAGACCACCAAGCCTGCGCTTGGTGACTAGTGATGAATCTGATCCCCTAGTTAGTAGCTGCGGGTACTGCAAGTGCTATTACGATGTGTGTTTTTTTTGTAGGTATTTGTCATATAAAACTTGAGACAAGTGCAAAGAGAGCTTAACTGTCGTATAGACTAAATTATGTTATACACTACTTTGCATTATAACCAATCGCATGAAGGAAAATCCGATTTTCATCAGCCATAGAAGGATGAAGATGAAGCAAATTTGAAATTGCAACTGCCATGGAGAGGGCCACTTTAAAAACTAGAATATGATAAAAACATGTGGTAAAGCTCTGTCCACGCTCTAATTTTCAATCTGTATGCCCATATATAGTAATGATGTGCCTATATATGGTCACAATGTGATGTCATCATGACCATATTTAGGCATGTCACATGCTGTTGTCAAATAAAGTCTGATAGTCTGGACAGGTCTTTACAGACCTGGTTAACTTTCATACATATTTAGTGGCTGATTGTTTTTCATGCTTTATTGCTGGTAGTGGCAATGGTTTGTGTGTAGAGTTTGCTCAGTTGTGGGATCTATAACATAGAAGAGTAGAAATTTGGTATAATACAAGTAACTATTACGTAATGTCTTTTACCTTGCCTTCTTTGTCAACTCTGAATTTGTTTTGATGCTCCAGCCCTTCATTACAGGCATTGCACAAGCAGCAACAGGCTAAAACATAAAAAAACATACAGTAATTATTGTTGAGTTTTTTAGGGGTCTTATAGGTCTAAGGTCCACTCTGTCATACCTACTCCAAAAATAGTTATAAAAATTAGTTGGTTAATAAAATATGACAAAATAATTAGTTTCTTTATAATGGACATGTTACACCAGGTTGACTATTTAGGCTTTCAAAAATGTAAATAACATGTTGGTGGCCTCATCTACTCTTTGACTACAAAAGGGAAACAAAATTGATAACAATGTAAAGTATGCAGTATCCCACCATTGCAACAAGTCATTGAAAGGAAATGAAAACTATAAAAATTTTTGCAAATTTTTTAAAGTATACAAATGATACATCTACAGTGTTTTCAAATTTCATTTTAACTGATCAAAAATATAAGCCTCTTTACTTACCTTTGCGGATTTCTCAACCTCAACTAAGCACATTCTACAATTCCCGGCAACAGAGAGTCTGTCATGGTAGCAGAAACGCGGGATTTCAACACCAACCATTGCACATGCCTTCAGGGGAGAAAAGGGTGACATTATAAATGGAAAAGAAATTAATGATAATCAGCATTAAATTAATGTTTTTAAGCTTAAACAAACATTCATATTCTGTATAAAATTAAACAATAATTCTTAATCTCCTGGTACATAATACTTGAAAGCTTACCTGCAAAACAGTTGTGCCTGGATCAACCAGCACAGATTTTCCATCAACAAACACTTCAACTTTTTCTGGAGGTGCAGTGGACTGATACCGTATACTAGTGACTGGGGCAAGCAACTGCCTTGTTAACACTGCAGCGCGACTAACTGGTGCCCTCAACATCGTTGTCTATTTGTCTATCTCTATGAATTAAAGAAAGTTTGAATGTAAAAACTTAGCATTGACTCATTCCATAAACAATTTTTCACAAAAGAATGCATTTGAAAAATAGCTCTTTCTAACATTCCAACACTTAAGGCCTTAATTAGAAAAACGTGAGTGTTTGTGATTGTTTGGCTGTGGTTATTGTTGCGACATTTTACACAAGTCTGAGGCGCCCATACTGGATAGTATTTTAAACGTGCGGACGATACCTCAGAAACCAGCTCAAATTTGTGTGGAAAATAACTAGGAAAATAGGTGCGCAGAATCATAACCAGTGTATACAACATTGGTTATATATTAAGTTAAATTAAATTTATTATTTTAGGCAAAATCTGCACAAAAAAATCAGCCCTTACTTTCCCGAAATGAGCTGATGGATTTCTAAGCCAAATTTTTGTGCAAAAGATATATTGCCTGCGCTGTCTGGTGAGGTGCTGATTGGTGAAAGCTGGCCTAATATACAGTAATAACACTAACCTTAAACAGTCTCACCATTACTACGCCATGTTCGATGAATACCATCTCCTTGATATTTAGTATTGCTTGTAAACTTTATTATTTATTAGACAATTTCTCATGCACATAATAGGACTTGGATGAAGATTTCTTCCTTAAAAAAGTGGTCTGACCAGGCTATAATTACAGCTTCATTTGCACTTTACAATCTAGGAAGGTCATACTAGGATTTAATACTACTACTAGGCCTAGTCCCAGACTGTAAAGTAAGGCCTGCGTGGGGAATATATCCTCCGCACAAAAATTTGGTCTAGGCCTAGTACTAGGCCTAGTTACTACTACTAGACTAGGGCCTAGTACTATTACTGTTTATGCATTTCAGACCTATTTGTTTGACCTATTAGGCCTAATCTTAATTATAAACAATGTATTATTGTGCAGTTATTACCATTCTGTGCACTTACTTTCGTTTTCCCACCGATTTGCTCCACAAATAAAAGAAAAATTGAGCTGACTTTTTAGTTTAATATTCACGCAATTAAAATAAAAACTTACAGTATGGTACTTAGTTACTAGGCCTACTACTTACTAGTCTAGCCTTAGTTTTTAGCCCTGCCTGGCGCTGCGCTTAGCTAGTGCAGGGCGTAGTTGGACCCGGCCTAGGCTAGCCTAACTACCCAGGGCCAAGCTAGCCTAGCTAGGCCTAGTAGTAGTAGGCCTAGTAGTAGTAGGCTAGTAGTGTATAGATAGGCCCTAACTAGGCCTAGGCTTAGCTATATATATATATCGTATAGTGGTCACCCTAATGTTTGAATTGTCAAATTGAGTTATAAAATATAATGACAATATTAATATATGGTAATTCTTGTATCACTTACTACTTTATTTTAGAAAAAAACACCGGAATCTTGCAGCGCATTCACTGGCGCTGGCAAGTTAGTTGGTGACCTGTGACATCCTAGCTGTCGATTCATTGACGATAGAGGGGGTACGTCACAAACAACTTCAGCTAGCTAGCTAGGAACTTTTTTTACCAATAATTACGAAAGCCATTAGTGCCACTAATGTTCAGTTTAATTACGAATTACTAATCCATTATTAAGGATTACTAATTCGTTATTACGATTAACTAATTCGTTATTACGAATTACTACGGAAATTCGTTATTACGGATTATTAATTTGTTATTATACGGATCAGTTTGTTACTCCGGATTATCGATTCGTCAGTACAGATTATCAATTCTAATTCGTTATTAAAGCTATTAATTAGTTATTACGGTAAAACAATTGTTTCAACTATACAATTCGAAATTCAAGACCTGTCTCACGCTTAAGGACCAAAATCTCACGCATAAATGTAATATTGTCTATAATAAACATGTATGAATTTGTAGCTCTCTCGCTAAATATTCATCATCTACTTTATATGCTTTTATTTTATTTTATTATTATTTTTATGCTTTTTATTACACATTCGAACACAAATAAACGGCGCACTACACCAGGGTAAAGTTGGGTTGGCTTTCTATTTTAAGTAACACTCATAACCAATCAAATCCGGGAGCTACCATATCGAGAGCGGCAGAATACGCTGTACATTATTTTTACGTCATTCTGACAGAGTAATCTGACAGAGTAAATCTGACAGATACAAATTTCTCAGAGTGAGCCAGCACATTTTTTTTATCCCTCTTCAGAAATGTTAACAAAGACCAAATCGACCACATGGATCTATAACAAAGAGCACAGTTGATTTCTCTTTCATTATCACAGTATTATAAAATGATTTTACATATTTTTTTTATGGTATGTCATGTGTTCTTTGGTTGAAAATTTATAAGCGTCGGTAAAAATGGATTGTTAACAGATTTCAGTTGTATGCAACTATGTGGCAAAGCCGGACCACACCCTGTCTCTTATACACATCTAGATGTGTATAAGAGACAGAAATTAATGATAACAATTTGATAACACGCGGAGTAGAAAAATGTCGACTGTGATAGTAAATACGTACGTATTGTGATACTAATACTTTCGTGATATTAATAAGTACGCATGTATTACAGTAATACGTACGCCGTGATACTGTAGTAAGTTTTGGCTCAGTGTTTTTTGTGTTTTTTTTTTTTTGTAATTTAATTTATTGTACTTGTATAATATGTTTGTTCATTAATCGCTACATCATGCAGTAATGCCAATATTGTACCGTATATACTGCTACACAAATTGCAGGATATGCGATTTAAAAAAAAAAAAATTAATTGAATAGGCCTATATATTGACAATAGTAAGTTTACCAGACCCATCATTTGCTCTATAACGTGGGTAATTAAATATTGTTAATTATTTAAATGACTTTTTAATTGAACTCTTAAATCCCCCTGCTATTTGACCACCAGCGGGGGTTCGTTTTGAGGGTTACATGCAGCTAACACTCAAAGTTTCCGCCTATGAAAAGCTCCTTCAGACTTCGTTTTATCAGATGCCAATAGGCTATAATTTTTGACTCCATAAATGATCAGCCAATAATGCATGCATGTAACGGGGTGGGGGATGGGGCGCACAGGGACACATACCAAAACATATCTAAATCCTTTGAAAGACAGTTGTTTCGAAGATTTTTGTTTACATGGAAGCCGAGTTCTTTATTTTCCCCTTTTCCCCCATTTGTAATAAAATTACCAAATAATACGATGTGAATGGTAGTGGGGAGAAGTATTTTTAGAATGTTTAGGTGAATATATTAGGGCCAGGTGACGAGCAGCTGTTTAATTGAATGACGACACATTTCAAGCTTCATAGTACAGTATTTTCTTTAGCTAGTCTGTGTGTGTGTGTGCCTTCCTCTATATCCCCAGGTATAGCTTCAGTTGCTATCAAGAACTTGTTCTGTTGTTCTTTAAATTTAGCATGGTTAAACGTGCTAAAAATGCTCTACGGTCACTGGGTTTATTAGTAGGCCTATCCCTCAAGGACAACAATCTAACTAACTTTGAGACAAGAAAAGTGAATTCATTCCAATGTAGGGTATCCTTTTCAATTGTTGTGATTTTGTTTAGAGGAAAACGGCTATGGCTGTCTCGAAAATACGGTGGAGAATGAAGTTGTCATTGTCAATGTCTATAAATCTGGTTTATAGAGTTTAAGCTTCCTAAAATATCTCTTTCTGACCATGATAATCTGATTAAATGCAGCGATCATAATTCATAGGCCCTAATCAGTAGGCCTATTTGTATAATTATAGATTTTTATATTCAGTAAATCGCTCATCTTGTAGTTCAGTTCACACAGTGCTCGTTTGGTAAGGGTACTATCTGGGTAAATGAAATAATGTATCTGAAAACTAATTTGATGAAAAAATAGATTGGCCTACATTCTGGAAGAGAACTTGTTCATATTGGTTGGAAACAACTCCCTGGTTGAATCTAAATATTTCTGGGTCATTTGGCATTCGAGTATAATTTCCTTTAGCTTGCATTTATGCACAGCTAGGTTAAAATTGTTTGTCTTATAATAATTTGTTTGTTTTCAAGGTCTTCCTGTGATGGATCCGCTACTTTGGTGAGTTAATATTCTGTAAAACCTAAGAACCCATTTTTCTAAAGTCAAAAAATGAACACATGACCAAAGTTATTAAACTTTATTAAAATATCACTATACTATTTTAACAATATTACTTGCTTTCAGCAATCAAAACTAAGACAAATAAATCTATATATTTTGAGTTTATATTTCAATATCTTTATCATTAACAAACATTTCTCTATTAAACACAAAGGCACCACATCATTTATTATTCATTGCACTCACTTACCATAATTAGTTTTGTACCAACCAGAAAATTATATTTAAAATGACATATTAAATCTACAGATATCTAGAGAATACTATGGAGGGGGAATTTGTCTTCCCAAACTCTAGACAAAATGCACCCCAGGCACACACCACTAAAAAATAAAATTACAATTTGGGGGGGGGGGCCATGAAGGTGAAGTCGGGGGGCCCCTCGATGATCAGTTGAGGGCCGCAAATTCGCAAAATATGGTGATGGTGAAACTTCACACAAATAGCTCACACCCCTCGACCCTCGACCATACAATTATATTGGTAAGGGAATACCCTAACACTCCTTAAAAAAAAAAAACCCCAAGCCACAGCTGTACTTCACATTTATAGTCATAATGTGCCTATATATGGTCATGATGTGATGTCATCATGACCATATTTAGGCATGTCACATGTTTTTGTCAAATGATAATTGATAGTCTGGATAGGACATATGAAAGGACAACTTAGCTACAGTTAAAATTTGTTAATATTTAAAGATTGCAGTTTGCAGTACACATTTGAAGCTATATTGTTTATCATTTCACAAATTTAGATTAGTGCAAATCACTATGTTTACATTAGCATATTGAGAGGTACTTCATCTAGGGTGATGTCCCATGGCAAAGTGACAGACACACAGCCATCCAGAGATGTGACATCATGCCACCAGAAGGGAGGTGTGTAAAGAATCTCACCAGGGTGCAATACACATGTGTACCTTTGCGCATGCCACAAACGCGGGAATCGCTCTAAGCATGTATCAAGGTCGCGCAGATTGACTTTACTGGTGTGTGATCGTGATGTGTGGCTTGGGTAGGGGTACAGAAAAGAAGTGTCAGTGTGAGAGAATAGTATCAACTCTTTGCAACCTATGAATTGTACAAGAAGGCCATGATTGCGATCAAAGTGAAGTGGTGTTACATTACCCATTGTTCCGACCCAGAGTTGCATAGTCTCTGGTTTAAAAACTTTTCTGAACATTTCCTGAAATGGCATTGGAAGGTCCACTGGAACATTCCCATTGTTATTTCCCCAGCCTGGATAGAGGCTGGTTTGCATCTCTTCATGAAGAACTTCTGGTTCCACACACTCCTCTTCACCAAATTCTAAGAATTCTTCCCATGGATGAACATCTTGGACAGTAGAACTAAATGTTGATGACATTTTGGAAGGATTTTCCTGTTGGCTTTTTGAAGAGATGACATTGTTACTCTTTGCATGATGAATAGCTGTTAGCAGTCTCTTAACCTGTTTCTGTATAATCAGGTCTTCATAAAGTTTAGAAGGCATGGAGTGTGTACGCAGATAATATTTAACTGGTTCATCGTCTGTACACTGCTTTGGATGAAATACGGAATCCATGAAATTTTTAAAAGTTATTTCTACTTTTTCTGATATCTCATAATGGTCTATAAAATGTTTGTTGTCATTTGATTTCAGCACTGTTACTTCATCACCAAACTCTTCATAAAGGACTCCCTCTATATATTCCCTAGTCCAGGTTTCCATTGGCAGCCAGTCTTGCATGATGCCAGTGAGAATCACTGGTGTTTTGTTCTTATAATGTGTACTGAACAATGACCCAGTGATGTTATCCACCCTCTTGATCTCAATAGGCTTAGTTTCAAACTTTAAAGAAGTCATCCTGCAAAGAAATTTTAGAACAGTAATAAAAATATATTTATATCTTCAAACAGCTGAAAGAAAGTAGAAGCTGAGGGCAGAAGCTCTCTGAACTAGGTTTTGTACAAGTATGTTAACGCTATAAACATGAAACAAAAAATGGCAAATGAGAATGCAAAATGAGGGGTCCCCAGTCTCTCAGAAATCAGGATGACGTCCCGCACTCAGCAAGCAAGCAAGAATCTCCCTGAATTAACCCATACAGTATCCCACAAATTCATAAAATTTGCATGTTTCTGTTTTCACTGCTTTATTATCAATTGTCTCACAGAAGTAATTGCCAATGTGTATCACAATGTGCAGCAAAATAAAATTAAACATAACAAAAGCTTTGCTTATTAACCAGATCAGTGGCGGATTCAAGTGGGAAGACCAC